GAAGGAGGCAAAAGCCACTTTGAACCAACATTTAAGGAAACTTCTAGAACGATCACTAAGCACTTCGACTTCTTAACCTTTGCTGACCTTAGCTAGCTCATTGAGGTGGAGGCTCACTTTCTAAGTTAGGTATATAACTGCTAGGCTAAGAAACCCCCATGGTTATATTATCTACATTGTTTTAAAAATGGGCATGGCGATGGGCATTGAGAGATATTTAGCAACCTCCCCCACAGGAGTCATCCTCCAATCATCGAGCCCCTTATTAGGATGGGAACATGCTTGGAGATGGAGAATTACTTGGCATAATTCAAAGTGCTAGCCTATAAATATCTGCACAGGAACTAACCAAGAGAAAGAGAAAACAGTGCTGGTGAGAAGTGACTCTGGGTTGATCACTTCCAAGTTTTCATTCAAAAGTGCTGTCTCCTTCAGAAGTACTGGATAAATTCACCTTTCATCATTGAACATGACTCCTGTGTGCAGACACACACTCCATGCGTCCCTGACAGCCACTGCAGTCCCTTTAAAGATGACACCATTTGGCATTTAACACCAACACAAATCATGTAAAGTCAGAAGACTCTGTGCTCATACCTCTGTAAAGCCCCATTCCCCTCCATGTCCAGCACAACTGAAGTTTCTCTCAGCTTCCCAAGTTTTTAATTTCTCTCTGTAGCCCAGCAGCCTCCGATGATTTGTAACACAAAAGGTGATTTACCTCACTTTTAACCCAGGTCACCACCTGTAAGAGTTAAGAGACTATCAAGTCAAACTAAGAATAAAGCCAGGCATGGTGGCACATGGAAAGTCTCAGTAACTGGAAAGTGGAGGCAGGAGGATCTGCTCAAGGTTATCCTTGTCTATGAAGGGAGTTTGAGGCCAGCCTGAGCTACAAAAGACCTTGGCTTAAAAAAGAAAAAAAAAAAAATCCCTAAGAATAAATTCTGATCCTAGATTACAGAAGGTTTTCTGTATACCTACTAGGGTGCTGAGATTAAAAACAACAGAAATGATAACAGAAACACGTCATGTACCTGTATCATATCAGTGAAAACTTAGCTATTAGTCTTGTTCTAATATTTTTCTTTTTTACAAAGTGAAAACCAAGACTTTCTGAAACGCCTGGAAATTTCTCCCGCATACAAAAGTCCAGGGCTAAACTGGTCCTTTACTATGTCTTTTCTAGGCTATACCATGCAGTGTATCGTCTGTAAAGTTAGGAGGCTGGTATCCTACACAAATTCCCAAATCTACTTACAGGCTGCCCATAAAGTGGAAATCAAGTAGAAGGTAAATGGAAGGGTTGAAGGAACACACAGAGTGGCATACCTCAAAAGACCCCAACGGAAACCCAGCTCAAGCTGCTGGGGTTTATGACCTGAAGTACAAAGAAAGTATCACCAAGTATTGATTCTGGAATAAGCAAATATAAATCTGCTTTTAACAGGTGCAGATTTGAGGTGGAGGCAGCCCTATACAAAGAATCAAGGAAGCCAGACCCGGTAGTATAGGCCTCTAACCCCAGCTACTCACGAAGCTAAGCCAGAAAGATCAAGTTCAAGCTTGCCTAGGCTAGGGTGAGTTCAAACTCAGTATGGGCCACTTAGAGAGATGCCCCCAATCTCAAAATAAGAGTTCCAGGTCAGCTGGGACTATACAGTGAGACCCTGTCTCAAAAAATAAAAATAAAAAAATAAACAGCAAAAACATGCCTAGAGATAAAGTTCAGTGCTTGTCTGGCATGTGTGAGGCCCTAAGTTCAATTCCTAGTACTGCAAAAATAGTTGGTTTCTTGGGAGTGGTGAAAAAGAAAGCCTTGAGGCTATAAGCTTGAATGATGACCTGAGGCCTCCTTGCTAGGCCAACTCCCAACCTCCCCTGCCAAGCTTGTGCAAACAGTCAGTCCAGTAAACCCAGTGAATTCAAGTATAAGCTACAAAAAAGGCAATCAACATGAATACCGTGTATACATCAGTCAAAAAAGAAACCAATAAAGGGATGCTTTTGGAAGCCCTTGTCAAGAAATTCCAATGGATTCTCATAGGAACATTTGAAAATTGCCCTGTTCTGACTTTTTTCTAGTTCCCTGTCTAGAATTTATAATTTTAATTACTTTTGCCTTTACTTCTCCTTCACACCTCCTATTCATGATTCAAGGACTTTCTTTTCCCCTTAGAGACAAGAGTTATGTAATTTGGGAGTCTTTTAGATAGACCCACTGAAGGGGTACTCCAATTGTCTCACCCTACATCCCTGTTCAGCATGGAAGAAGCCAGAGCGGTCTGTGTCCTGATTCCCTTTTGGCAGTTTGGTTAACCCCTTCAGAGGATGGCGTGATAAGAATAGGAGGATGGAATTGGCTAGGCAGTTAGGGTAAAAAGACCCCAAAGAAATGTAGCCATATTCTGGGCTAAAAGTCAAAATGTCCTTGGGCCTGTTAGCAACACACTCTGTTCCAAAGGCCAAAAATGTCAAAAGTATTTGGGAGTATGTATCTAATCCTTAAAAGATTTTAGGGTTACCTCTTCAGAGGGGGGAAAGCTGGAGGGGAGGGAGTGGGCATGGATTTGACCAAAACACCTTATATGCATGTATGAAATTCTCAATAAAGTTTTTGTAAAAGTTAAAAAACTGTTAATACACCATTAAATTTTAAAAAAAGTTAAGGCACACGTGAAGAAATGGTAGAAAAACCAACAGGAAGTCAGAGTAATGCTGCCACTGGGGCTTATAAAATGTGACTAAATATTTTGCAATGCATTGTTAAATGAAGCAATTTTTCTAGAAAGAAGATGAGAAGAGAGATAGAGAGAAGAGATGGCCAGACGATCGGAGGAGCTGGAACATGAGCTTGCAGAATGTAGCAAAGGGTTCAGAAAGCAGTAACAAGATGGAAATGAACGTGCTGAAGGGAGAGGAGAGAGCAAACACACAGCCAGGGACAAAGAAGGTAACACCAGGGGTATACCAAATGAAGTGGAAATAGTTAAAAGACCAGAGAGCAAAGTGACAGGTTGAGTCAGATAAAGGAAGGCATCATGGTCCCTGAAGAATGAAATGGGTCTGAATAAATCTGTAAAGATATAGTTTAAGAAAACTTTCCTAAAACAAAAGCAGAGTCAATCTCATTTATGAGAGGCAATAACGTATCAGGGAGAGCAGGTCAACACCAAGGAGGATACTGATGAAGTTATCCAGCTTTTTAGACAAAGAAAGAATCCTTTAGGACAGAAATCAAAAAAAAGGTCAGGCATAGCCTCAGATTTCTTTATATCAAGTTAAACTCCAGAAGATGAGGGTAAGACAGACTGTTCCGTAAAAGAAAGGGCAGGCCAAGGATGTCGGGTGGGAAGGACGTGACACTCAATCAGGTACAGAGTGCCAGTTTTGAATGTGCATGGGGTCAAGAGATACTGTTGCCACAAGTCCTTGAGCAAACACAGTTCTTGACAATGAATTTCAGTTGTCTAAACAATGGGAAAACCAAAGCAAAAGAGCTGGCCGTGTCAAACATCTTCATCTAGGAAATGAAGAGTTTAAGAAAAAACAAAACAGAAAGCAGCAGCACAAAGAGGGGACCTGTATGACGGGGTAGAATGTGGAGGTACAAGTGCAGTGACGTGGGTATGGCATCACTGTGACTCCCAGGAGGGGAGGAAAAGGAGGGGTACTAGACCAGACCTGGGGATTTCCTTCTGGAGCTTCCAATGACAATTAGGGTAAAAGGCGAGTCTCAGACCCTGACCCTGTGGATCTCTTTTCATTGACTTCCCCTAGATCTTCCAGCTCATGTCTTTGCTGCCTCTAGAACCTTGTATGTGTCAACCCAGGATTCATACCTGCTCCCTACTTTTTGGTGTTTTTGTTTTTGGAGACTGGGTCTCCTTGTACCCCAGTTGGCCTAGAACTCATTATGTAGACTGGGTTGACCTTGATCTCATAGAGATCCTCCTGTCTCTGCCTCTGAGTGCTAGAATTAAAGGCGTGCTTCTGTTTTGATCTGTGTGGCTTTTTTTTTGAGACAGTACCTCACTATGTAATCCAGGCCAGCCTTGGACTCACAGCAATGCCCCCACCTCAGTCTACCAAGTGCTGTGATCACAGGCATGAGCGACCATGCCTGGCTTTCATATCTGCTTTTGGTATGTTCTCCCCCATCCCTAGGCTATTTATCCTACTTCTTTTTTAGTATTTTCTGTGGTGCTAGAGACTGAGATCAGGACCTCACACTTGGTAGGCAAGTGCTCAGTCAGTGAGCTACATCCCCATCTCTTTTTATATTTTTAAAATTTGAGGTAGGTTCTTGTTAAGTTGCCCAGGCTGGCCTTGAACTCACTCTGTAGCCCAGGATGACCCTGAACTTTCAATCTTCTCACCTCAACCTTGTGCCTATACCACCAGGCCCCTCCCTCACTGTGCTTCTGTGCTTTGATTTAATATCCTCAAGGGCCTGGCTCTGACTCGCCAAATGAAATTAGTTCTTTGATTGATAACATATTTCCCTCATTATGTTGCAAGCGTGTTTAATTATTTATTTAATACCTGCCCCTCCCTCAAGACTGCAAACTCCAAGAAGACAGAGTCAAATCTGTTTGGAACACAGTAAGTACTAAGACATACAGTGGGTCTTGTTGTATGCAAAGTGCTTAGTAAGTATTCACTGAGGTTTGTCATCCTCTGCCTCATCAACTCTGTACTGGACAGTGATGGGGGTAGAATAAACTTCCAAACACAAAGTTGTAAAACTACAAGGTTAAAAACCTTTTAAAAAAGCTTCTGTTTCACATTTGTCTTTTATTATAGCAGGAAAGGTGAGAATGCATTTCAGAAAGATCTTCGGAGACGACAGATGCAAGGTTTTCTCAGAAGCCCTCACATCACCACTAAGGCACAGTGTCTCAGCTCATCGGGTTTCAGCAAAATTCTGTTGTAAGTTTCCAGATCCCATTTGTCACAGAGAGACAGTAAGGGGTAAAATCAGAAAGCTTTTCACTTACTTTGGATGTTCAAACTTGTCTATAAGCTCAACCTTTTCCACCAGGTCTCCACCAATTGTTCGGACTAAGTCATAGAAATCATTCTCTGTGTAATTCTCCGAGGGCAGCCAGAAGGAAATGTCATTGAGCACAGCAGGGTATTTGCTAAGAGGCTAACAAAAAACAAGAGGAGAGAGGCACTTGTTAGGTGCTGAGAATAATTTTTTCATGGAATGTTTCAGTTGCGTAATTAGGAAATATGGGAAAACATTTTAATGTTTGAATTTTCAAACAAACTTAAAAGATAAATCAATATTCAAAATTAGCAAATTCTAGTACAAATGTTATAGATTCTTATCACAGTCATGTGTAACATTACCATATATTGTATTTAGATTGCGATTAATGGCCAATTTACCAAAAAGCAATTTGAATATATCAGATTTCAGTTTCTTCCCATTGAATAGGCTAGGAAAAAAGTTCAAATTTAATTAGCATGCAATTCATTAACTGCTTGTGATACTTTCAGGAAGCCATCTTAATAAGGAAATAAGTAAGGGCCTGTCAAAACTGGTATTTCGATTAGTAAAGCTATTCTCTGTTATAATGTGATAAACACAAATGTGATCATTTCCTCTATTTTATTCCACTTATTCTTTAACAGTTCAGCAGCTCATCTTTATACTAACCCCTTTAAAATGCATTTTGCTTAGAAGATGCTGCATTTATATTTAGAGCCATGTGTATATCACCATCACATACACAGACACACAGGCAGACTTCAGTCTACAAGATAAGTCACAGTGAGAACTGTTCCAGTACATAAAATCCTAAGGGAAACCTGCTAAATGTATACATTTTCTAGATAGGCAGATGCATAAATTGACTTATGCCAAATCTGGTATTACTATAAATCTTTTGGTGAATCATTGATTAGAGGAGTGTAAAACTTTTAAATGGCAAAATCTCTGAAGAACTAAAGACTCACACATAAGTGATTATTGAATTCAAAATGTCAATAAAGTTGTCAAACAAACGAGTCAGTTTAGAACATACATTTTAAACATTTCTGACAAAGCTACAGTCTGGTGCTCCTTGCAAAATAACTGACTCCTGAGAAGCACCCTGTTCTCTGTCTCCTCAGAGGGAAGTCAGGATGCTGTGATCATATCCAGGGGAATGAGAGCAGATGACACTTCCGTAGCTAAGCATGCATCTTTTCCTTTTCATTATACCCTTTTGACTCTTCAGAAACACTGGAAATTAGTGAGGTTAGAGACAGAATGCCAAAAATTAGCATGAACTCTCGTCTGTGGCTCCAACCTGAGGTGCCATACTTTCTGAATTCTGATGAGAGGCAGGTCACAGAGAAATGAGAGGAGGAACCCCAACAGAGCACCTGTGCTAGCAGCCTGTAGACAAAAGCTTGTAAGAAAGAGAACTTCAAAAGTCATGCAGTTAAAAAGAACAACCCATATAACCAACTGCACTGCAATCTGTCTGAAACTAACAAATGTAACAAATCTAAAGTGACAGGTTAATTAAATGGAGTATGATGGTTAGTGCTGTCAACTGGACAGAATCTAGAATCAGCTGTGAGACAGGCCTCTGGACCTGCAGCTCCATGGTGCTCAGAAAGGCCTGTCAGTGTCGGGGGACCCATTCACTGGGTGGGGATCCGGACTGTACAAAAGGGAGAAAGTGAGCTGAGCACAGGATTTTTTTTTCAATTGAGCTTTTAAAATTTCATACAATATTTCTCACTCAAATACATACCCCGCTCCCCCATCCATACCTCCCTCTACCTCCCCACTCAACCCTGTGCCCTCTGATATACATGCTGTGTCCTATTCATTCAGGTGTTCATACCCAATCATCCTTCAATGTAAATGTGTCCACTGGAGTCCCATGATTATTTCATAGGAAGTATATTTGATAAATGCATTATGAATTCATTATAAAGGAAAATAATCTAGTAAATTAGAAACAGAGGACAATGTCCTTAACCCAGGTAGGTATCTTAAAAACCTGCAGTAGATATCATCAAACTTAACAATTTTAGGAGCATCCCAATTCCAATCAAGTGTAAGGATAAGACATCTACTCTCTCCACTGCCCTATCACACAACATATCTTAGGAGGAAGATATGTTAGGAGGAAGTACAAAAGTAAAAGCCAAGTCAGGAGTTGCCTTTAATCCCAGCATGAGGGAGGGAGGGAGGGAGGGAAGAAATTAAAGATATTGAAAAAAATATTTATCAAGCAAGTACGAACTAAAATAAGTCTAAGAAGCTCTGATTTTCTGCAAAAAAAGGCCTTAATAGAAAATAGGAGGTACTCAACTATGACTAAAATGTAAACTTCATCAAAGAGATATAATAAACTATTATGTACTAATAATATAGTTTCAAAGTAGATTAAGTAAAACCGATAAAAATACCATGATAAGTTTATAAAGTTACAATAGCGGGAGATGTTTTTATTGGAAATTGGCAATCAGGAAGATCAAGCACATAAAATACTAAAGGAATTTGGAGGACCTGAGCAGTGTGATGAAGAAGGGCTTTCTTGCCTTTAAATGAGAACATACTTCTCCAAATACATCTTCAGATATACCCTACAGCATTAATATAGTATTTTCATTCTTCAGCTTGAAATATTTATATTTTCAAATATTTGAAAATTATTATCACTTTATTTGGCATTAATTTTTAAATTTTCAAGTGCATGCATTAAATATATATATACATATACATATACATACATACATATATAATATTTTCTGTGCTGGGGATCAAAACCCAGCTCTCATAAACTATATCCCCATCTCTAAAAATACCTCTTTATTGCTAATTTCAAAATTAATTGCACTGACATTGGAAAACAGTATGATACTTATTCCTGGCTTTGTTGAAAGATGCCTTGCAACATACAATATCGTCAAGTCTACACGTTTTCAGTGTGCTTAGAGAATACCAGTTTCATTCAGGCACAGAGTCTGCGCACACACACACACACACACACACACACACACACTTGCATACACAGCTCGTCCTTCTCCCTCCCTCCCTCTCTCCCTCCCTCCTTCTCCTTCCCTCCCTCCTTCCCTCCTTCTTTCCCTCCTTCCCTCCTTCCTTCCTTCAGTGTTTTACCATAGAGCTATGTACCCAGCCCTTAATTTTTTTTTTCTTTTTGATCTTTTCAAGATAGGGTCTCCCTGTAGCCACAGCTGGCCTGAAACTCAATATTGGACCAGGCTGACCTCAATCTTACTAAGATCCACCTGCCTCTGCTGCCATTAAAAAAATGTAAAAAAAAAAAAAGACTGTTTATTTTTACATTATGTATATGAGTGCTTTGTCTGCATGTGTGGAAGTGCACCCTTGTTGTGCAATGCCCACAGAGGCCAGAAGGACACTGGATCCCTTGGAACTGGAGTTACTAACAGTTGTTAGCCACATGCAGGTGCTTGAGAACTGGACCTCAGTCCTTTGTGAGAGCAGCGAGTTCTCTTAACCCCTGAGCCATCTCTCCAGCCCCAGTCCTTAATTTTGTAAAAAAAAAAAATTCCTTTAAAAGCTGACTTAAGGGGCTGGAGAGGTGGCTCAGCGGTTATGGGCACAGACTGCTCTTGTAGAGGAGCCAGGTTTGATTCCCAGCACCCACATGGCAGCTACGAACCGTCCTTAACTCCAGTTCCAGGGGAATCC